ATTAAAATATAGCAGTATTATATAAACATTAATAGAATTTTTTTTTTATCCTGAGAGAAAATAACACACCTAAGCTGTATGTGTATGTGTGCTGGGTGGGGTAGGGAGTGGTAAGAAAAGCAAAATTAAACCAACAGTCTCCAATACCTTTTTGCTATAGTAACTGCAAGGAATCAGAATCATCTATGCTGAACTATTTTATTCTACATCATTATTTGAATAAAGCAACTGTTTCATTTTTTTCTTGCCTTTCTATTACAATAAATGTCTCTTAGGAATGAGTTAATAAGACTTGGCATGCCTGATGTCAGTGAAAATCAACACTATCTTGATGACTTTCTAACTTTTTATGATACAGAAAAAAACAGCTTTTCAAAACAATCTTCGGAGCCAGCAGGTGGCACGGCAGTTAAAGCAATGGACTCCCATACAACTGACTTCAGTTCAAGTCTCAGACCCAGTGGCTTGAAAATCATGCTGTTCGAATGTGCATGCATGCCCAAAATACAGAGAGAAGACTGGAGAAGGGACTGCGGCATGGCCAAACCCCCGGGAGGTGATTTTTCAGCATGGCCAAACCCCCGGGAGGTGATTTTTCAGCTTCCCTCTCTGGCAAGTGCACGCATCCTATGGCAATGACAAAAACAAACAAACAAAACAATCCTTGAACAGTTACTTGGTCCAATATCATTAGTTTTCTTAATATAAGGGGGGAGGGGACAAGCCCTATAGCCTAGTGGTTAAGGAGTCAGATCCCACATGTCCAACAGCAGTTCAAATCCCAGTCCCAGTGACTTGAGAAACATGGTGGGCATGTGTGCATGAGTGTTCAAAATCCTGATAGATGGAGAAATAGAAAAGGGATTATAGTGTAATCAGGTCCTATTGGAGAGAGCTTTCTCCTTTTCCTTCTTTCTGTCTCCATGATGGGTACACGTGCTCTCTGGCAATTAAAAAATAATTAAAAAGGTACAGCAGGGGACTAGCACATGGCATAATGGTTATGTCACTGGACTCCCACGTAGTCGACCGCAGTTCCACTCCTAGACTTGGCAGTTTAAATCTCATGGCAGCGCATGTGCAGGCGTGCTTGCCCAAATTCCAGAGAGATTAGAGGAGAAGGGATTCCGGCATGGTCATCCCCCCTGTGGGGTGATTTCTCGCCTTCTCTCTGTCTGTCTAGTAAGTGCATGCACCCCACAGCAAAAATCTCTCTCAAAAAAAAAAGGGGGACCGAGGGAACCAGCAGTTAGCGTAATGGCTATGTCGCTGAACTCCCACGTAGTCGACCGCAGTTCGCGTCCCGGACCCGGTGGCTTAAAATTCACGCCAGGCATATGTGTATGTGTGTGTGCCCAAGATCCCGAGAGGAGAATGGAGGAGAAGGGATTGCAGCGTGACCATCCCCCCTGGGGGGGGTGATTTCTCGCTTTCTGTCTCTATGTCTCTCTCTATTTGGCAAGCGCACGCGCCCTATAGTGAAAATCTCTCCAAAAAAAAGGGACCGGCAGGTGGTGTGGTGGTTAAGGCACTGGATTCCCACATGGCCAGCTGTGGTTCAACTCCCAGACCCAGCAGCCTGAAACTCACGCTGGGTGCATGTGTGTGTGTATGCCCAAAATCCCAAGAGGAGAATGGAGAAGGGACTGCAACATGGCCAACACCTCTGGTGGGTGTGTGTGTGTGTGATTTTTCACTTTCTGTCACTCTGGCAAGCACACGTGCTATTCAAGTGCATATCCCCACTCCAGATTTTTTTTTTTAAACGAAGGGGGAAAATACAATAGGTCTTCAAAAAGTCCACGGAAAATATGTATTATGAAAAAACTAAACATGGATTTCAAAAACTTTTGCACCAAAATAAATTTATACTTTAATTCTTTTTTATATAAACTGAAGTTCCCTTATACATACATGCATACATTCATTCTAGAGTTAGACTTATCCGAGAATAGTACAAAACCTATCCCACACAGCTGCAGTGAGAATTAAATTAACTAATACATGTACAGTGCTTAGAACAGTGTCTGACACCCAGTAAGCCTTCAATAAATATTATCGTTCTTTTACCATGTTTCATTTTTACCTATTCTATGTGTCTTGGTAAGCAGTGGAGAATAAGTGCACAATAAAGTAGAAAAGCTCCCTTCCTTTGACGCTTAAATAGTGTAACCCACGCAAGTCCATGTGACATAGGGGAGAGAAGCCTAGACGTGGCCATTTGAGCTCTTTATATAAATTCAACTCCTACTGGCACCAACATGAAAGGATAATCAGGATTTTCTCAGGACTCAAAAGGTTAAAGTACAGACTTAGAAGGGAACTTTATTTTTTAAAGAAATTATTTTATTTAACTTTATTTATTTTTAATTTGACTAGAGAAGTACAGAGCAAGTGAGAGAGAGTGAGAGAAAGACGGGGAGAGAGAGAGAGGGAAAATGAGAAAGCAAGCTGCCAGGTCCAGGACTCAAACCATAGTCAGTCATGGGGGAGTCCAGTGCACTTAAACACCATGCCACCTGCTGGCCCCAGAAGGGAACTCTTATCCACACCAGAAAGAAGAACAAATCAGTTAGAAATTGGAGGGACATGGCAAAGATGAATGGGATCAAACTGACCAGGGAAGAGATGACACAGCCACACAGCTAGCACAATACCAGTAGGACAGGAAAATGACTGACAGCTTAGAGAACCCCCCCAGCTGGTCTTACCAGGAATCCTGTCTCATTCAACGTGTAAGCTGACTCAGCCTAGTCCTAAAGGATTTCTCCAAGATCCCTTTTCTCCAACACTGTGTGAATCTAAAGAATGCTGACGCTGGGAAGAGGTGATGTCTATATGAGGAGCATTGGATTTGAATGCCTCGTGTTTCTTTTTCTTTTTTTTTTTTTTTAGTGTGAAAGAGTAATAGAATTTATTTCAAGTGTGAAGCAGATTATACTGCCAATGTAAGCTTTTTACATTTTCCCTGAGATTTTAGAAATGGGCTCCAGAAACCTTTCTTAGTAAAGAAGGATCTTACAAATCACAGCAGAAGAAAACAAGATAAGCACTGTCCTGGTCAGCAACACAATGAGATCTGTTCTGGGCCTCATTAATGCCCTTTGCTGAGGGGCTACATGCAGAAGAGAATTTAGTACTTGTCCTGGGTGAGCAGGAGAAGTACTGGACAGCCAGGGGGCGGTGCAAATAGATTGTGATAGCTCCTATCCTCTCTAGGATATAAAAGTTTCCATGCTTCCTGTCATGGTTTAGGTGATCATCACATTGTAAAATTCAAGCCCTATCTTTTTATAAAAAATGCTCCACGTGGGATCAGCAGATAGCATAATAGTTATGTCACTGGACTCTCACATAGTAGACCATGGTTCAAGTCCTAGACCCAGTGGTTTAAAACTCATGCCGGGCGCATGTGTGTGTGTGTGCCCAAAATCTCAAGAGAAAAATGAAGGAGAAGGATTGTGATGTGGCCATCCCCCCGGGGGTGGCTTTGACTTCTCACTTTCTGTCTCTCTCTTTCTCTGGCAAATGCATGTACCCTATAGGAAAAAGCTCGCTAAAAGAAAAAAAAAACAACTCTATGTACGATACTTAGAAAGGATAAAAAAATATATAAGGAAAAGGAAAGTACTTAAAGGAGTCAACATAGCTTCTTCAAGAGGGCATATGGCTTTACTTGAAGCCACAGCTTCAAATCAACTGCCAAGAACCTGAGCCTTAAAACACCTTGGCTGGGGCTGGCAGGTGGTATGGTGGTAAGAGTGCTGGACTCCCACGTGGCTGACCACAGTCTGAATCCCAGACACGGCAACTTGCACGCACGTGGTCGCTCTCTCTCTCTCTCTCTTTCTCTGGTATATATGATGTATGTATGTATGTATGTATGTATGTATGTATGTATGAATGAATAAATACATAAATCTAAATAAAATAATTGTTTAAAAAAAAAAAAACTTGGACAACTATATGGTTGGGCTTGCAAGATCATGTATGCAAATCAAGGGCTGAGGATGTTAAGACACATCCCAGGTAAGCTAAATTTTAGAACAGCTTGGGTACAGATAGTAAATCATAAGATTAGTGAAGTACTGCCTGATTTCATAACCAATAAGCACCTGTATACCCCATCTTTATACACTGTCTTCTATCAGAATGAAATGTAAAAGGTCTTGTTTATTATGTCCTATTGGATGACAAACATAGTGGCTTCAAATTTCCCATATTTTCTGAAAAGATCACTTAATTTCACCAAAAACAAGGATCATCTCATAAGTACTCAAAGAAAAGGCCAGCCATTATTTCTATATGTTCATACCATGTGGAAGTATATAGCAAATGCTTGTTCAATGAGTGAATAGTGAGTATGGGATTTGCTCCAGTTATTAGAAATCACAGTCTATATTAAAATGCCAAGCAGAAGGAATGCAAATAGCATTCCATTTCCTTCTGGAAGCTGACTCTACACATGTAAATCACTTACCAGATTTTCACAACTACGTCACAGTATTACGCAGTCTGTGACTGCATAAACACATTTGATGTTGGAATGCCAGACTTAATATGTAACTAAGAATATTTAACTAGAGGAAAAAACTCTTTTCATGTGTTACATGTACCTAACAAAACTTTTCTTTGTATATTCAAGGAAACAGTTTACAACATAAAATCAAGGAGTAATATCAAATACAAACTGTGGGACCAGCAGTTAGCGTAATGGCTTTGTCACTGAACTCCCATGTAGTTGACCACGGTTCGAATCCCGGACCCGATGGCTTAAACTCACGACAGGTGCGTGTGCGTGCATGCCTGAGATCGTGAGAGGAGAATGGAGGAGGAGGGATTGCTGCGTGGCCATCTCCCCTGGGGGGTAATTTCTTGCTTTCTATCTCTCTGTCTCTGTCTTTCTGGCGAGCACACGCACCCTATAGCAAAAACCTCTCAAAGACAAAACAAAACAAAACAAAGAAACAAGATGTACTAAAAAATAAAGAACATCCTACCTGAACATCTTTGTACTTGTCTCTTAAATCCAAGAGCCGGTGGTAGGCTTTAATGGCTTCTGAAAATTCTCCAACATCAGTACTGGTGAGAATGTAGTTTTCCCAGATTTGCCAGTGTTCATAGTTACACTTGAGAGCTTCTTGTAAAGTTCTAAAGGCTTTTACTCTATTGAAGGTCAGGTTTTAAGGAGAACAATGAAAAACTTGTTTTATTAGAATAAACCATACCTAAATGTGAAAAATGCTACTTTGGTCTTTATTCATTCACATTAATAAATAAGAGGCTGAAAGAACCCAAAACCACTCCGAATTTCCCTATAAAATTCAATGACAGATCCTATGGTATAGAGAGTATCCTTTTAAATACTCCCTCCCTATCTGGTAAATAGACTGAGTGTCTATGCCAATATCACCTCAGGAGAAGGCTCACTCAAGTTCCAGACTTGGAATCGGTGACCAAACAAGTGCAACTGCAAACCTGAAGTACAAAAAATAGCAAGCCTGGCACTAGTGGAGGGTGGTCTAAAGGTGAGGAGGTCAAAACAAAACCCTCATATTCTAAATGAATCGACAAATCGAAAGTGCATAACGTGGGGGGGGGGTCTACACTAGGATGGAAAGTCGACATAATTAACCAACAGAATATAAATATGCTAAAGATAAATTCTAATTTTAAAGAACAATTTAACAAGTCTTTAAATAGGTTTGTTTAAAAAAACCAACAGGAAAAATTTTAAAATAGGTCATATTTTAAAAGGAGTAGAAACTTGTGAAATAAAAGAAATAAGAACAGGAGATAAAAACTATCCGGAAATTTTTAGATTTGAAAGAGACATTAAAACAATAACAACAAATTCAACAGGTGACAATAACTATATAGCATATAGTCAAGGAAAAAGCTGGTGAACTAGAAGATAACAGTGAGGCGTTCCGAGATTAAAAAATCCAGAACAGGATCCAGATTAAATATATAAAAATAGTAATGAAACATGAGAAAATGAGAGATAAGGCTCAAATATACACATGATAAACATTTCAGAATAAATAAATGTAGAAAGAGACAGGATGCTGAAAATGGAAAAGATAAGGCTGAGCATTTTCCAGAACTGAAAAAAAAAAACCCCTAAATTCTACATTCAAAATAATTTCACATACCAAGCATTATAAAGATAAATACCAACAACTAGACATTATAAGAACTTGAAGAACAAACAGACATTCTAAAACCTATAAAGAAATGACAATTAGAGAAGAGCTGATATTTCCTTAACAACAAGGTCATTAGAAGATAACAGAAAAAATGCTGAGTAAAGATATTTTCAGCCTAAAATTTTATAACCAGTTAAACTTATTACTTGAGTAAATGTGAAAGCAAACAGTTTTAGATGCATAAAGATTAAGAGAGTTTACCATCTACTGATCCTAACTGAAAGAATTTCTAAAGGATAGTAGTTCTTGCAAAAATAAAAGGGAATTAAAAAATAAAATACTTCTCCAAAGTCAGCCATAGGGGGCCAGCAGTTAGCATAATGGCTATGTCGCTGGACTCCCATGTAGTCGACTACGGTTCGTGTCCCAGACCTGGTGGCTTCAAACTCAAGCCAGGCGAGTGTGCGTGCATGCCCAAGATCCCGAGAGGAGAATGGAGGAGAAGGGACTGCGGCGTGGCCATCCCCCCAGGGGGTGATTTCTCGCTGTCTCTCTGTCTGGCGAGCACACGCGCCCTATGGCAAAAACCTCTCCAAAAAAATAAATAAATAAATAAAAAGTCAGCCATAAACTGTTTCTATGGGATCTTTTTTCTTTTTTCCTTTGTTTCTACTCTATACTTCACCTCTGCCTTCCTTCTAATAGCAACTGCCTTCAACAGTGGTGGACTGAGACTCCCAAGTTCTTCCATCCACATCAGGGTGGGGCTAAAGTCATCCTACTGAAAAAAAAAAAAAAAACTCGACAAGCTACAATCCACACCAGGAGGATTATCCTCTTTCTTAGTTATCCTCCCATTTTCTAATCACAACTTCCTGGCCTCCAAATTTTTGCAATGAATTCTTTCTGGGATAGTATAGTTTCTTCCCAAGAAGCTTCATGCCAGGATTCATAGTAGGTTATGAAACCTGCTGTAACAATGTACAATGAAAATTATACATAAAGATGGGAAAATTTCCCAAGGAACTAGTAAGGACATGATGTCTAGGGGAATCAGATGAAACAATGAATAAAGTACTTCAGTGGAGAACCCTACGATAACAAAAAGATAAACATGACAGTTTAATGGGCCACATTAACCCATAAAATACAAGTTTTTGAAGGAACAATAATTACCTCTAAAGGGAGAATCTCATGAGTCAAAAATTAGCTATATCTGGAGCACTTGCAAAAAAAGAAAAGAGTTAAAAGGGAAGAAGAAAGAAAAGATTTACTCTGTCCTTACAACCCTTATAAAAATCTATCATGGAGTTACAGGCAAGAAAATACCAAAAATAAATTAAAGAACAATATGCAAGAACCCCTAAGAAAGAATGCAGGATTCCTAAGATGGCTGGGCTGGAAGACAATGTAGAGTATCAAGAGTTTCACTATTTACAAATATCTGGATTACTAGAAAAACTCACTGAGATCATTCTACAACTATGACAAGGATTTCCCCCACCCGTTGCTTTAACCAAAAAGGTCTCCAGTGAGTTTTAACACAATCTGTTGCAATCAAGAACATAATATTATTTTCTGAAGAGAATAGTAGAACAAACAGTACTTTATTTATATATATTGTCATCCAAGAGCAGAGAAAGCATTTCATGACTTCAACATAATACAGATATAATGATGCCTTCAGAAATATCTTGTAATTTCATATAAAAAAATTAAGTTTGAAAAAAAGCCCAAATAAAAGTAAAAATATACCCTGTCTCTTTCTTTCCCTTTGCTTTGATAGCCAGTCAATAAGGCTACTTTGTTGTCCCCTCCATAAACTGTTTAACATACGCCCTTCTTTTTCCACTTTAGTTAGCTCATGCCTGGATTGTTACAACAGCTGTCTCCTAACTGGTTTCCCAGCTTCCAGTTTCCTCTAGTCTGTCTCTTATACTGCCATGAGATATATTTGCCAAAAAGCTTTTTCTTAATGAAATTAACCCACCCTAATCTCTGGCTTCCTATTACTAACAGGACAGTCCCCACTTGAATGTCAGACCGTCAGAATACACTGAAGCTTGACTCCAACCTATCTTCCCAACCTCATCTCTCATAGATCCTGCATGACTCCATAGCTAAACTATTTTATTTCCTAGCTCCTAAAATCCTGCATTCAATCCTGTCCCCCTACATTTGGTCACATTATTTACCTTGCCTAAAAGGCTTGCTTGCCTCTGTCTCTATCTAACCTTCAAATTTCAGCTTTGGTTCAATATGCTCCCAAGCATTTACAACTTGGAATAAGCTACCTTCTTTCTTCTGAGATCTAAATGAGAGTTGGGCATATAATAAGTATGCTAGGAATATAAATGTGTGTGCGTGAGTGTGTATGTATGTATGTATGTGTATATATATGTTTGTGTGTGTGTGTATACACACATTTTTTTTTAATGGGGAGAGGGAGAGAGAGAGAAAGAGGTATTTTTAATAGGATCTTGCCCTGTCATGATTCTCCTACCTCAGTCTCGTAGTTTGCTAGGATTATAGTCAGGTATCTTTGTACCCTATTTAGTTTGGTCAGGGTACTGAACCTGGGCCTCCCCCAGGGTCTTACCTTTGCAGTGGCATCCTACCACTTGCCGGCCTCACCTACTGTTACCATGCCCCTTCTGTATTCTCACCTGATATTTCTACATATAATGTATATTACTCATCAATTTTTAAAGATATATGATGTAATTATGTTTCATTTTTAAAGACCAAGGTCAGGCTGACCTGACCTGTGGCCTTGTGGTTAAGGGAGCCAGATCCTACATGGTTGACCATGGATTGAATCTCAGCTACAATGGCTTGAAATATAAGCTGGGCATGACAGGTTGGGGCAACAGAGGAGAAGGGCCTATGGCATGACCCATGTCCCATTGGGTAACGCTTCTTCCTTCTCCCTTTTTATCTTTCTGTCTGTCTCTGGTGAGTATACATCCTCAGGCAGAAAAAAAAAATGACAGGGTCTTGTCTTGAAGCAATCCTTCTGTCATAGTCTCATAGGTGGAATTACAGGCACATACCACCATGTCTGCCTCCTTCAGAGAAGGTCTTGCTATGTTGCCTAGGCCAGCCTAAAACACACAACACTCCTGCCTCAGTCCCTAGAATATAGACGCATGCCACTACATCTAATTTTTAGGTTGAACAGGGAATCAAATCTGGCCCTTCCATGTGGTTGTAGTTTGTGGAGCACAGTGCCTTAGCAGCACATACCACTTACAAATGGGCTATAATATTTTGTTTCTTAAACCTATATTCCCAGAAGACACTGGTTTATATTTACTTAATTTTCTTAATAATGTCTAGTAGAAAACAAGCAAGTATATATATTTTTTAAAAAATCCATCAATTGAATGGACCAACTAATAGTATGCTTGCTTTTATCATGTAATAAAATTTAGTATGAAATAAAAATTCCAAGCGTTATTTCTTATTCTGTTACATCTTAAACATTTTCAAGGAATAAACTATATATTTATAATTAAAAGACTATTTAGTCATTCTTACTCATATAAAGTCATGTTTCTTTTATGAATTTCTGCTTAAATTTATTTGTGGTCTTGGCATTTCATGTAATTTCTACTCTTTTAAATTTATCAAGGTGAGTTTTATGTCATGGAATATGGTCTATCTTGATGAATAAGATGGTCTTTCTTGATGAATACTCCACATGCACTTGAAAAGAATGTGTATTCCACTGTTGTGAAATATTGTCAAGATGTTAATTAAATCCAGTTGACTGATGGTGCTGTAGAGTTCAACTATAGTCATGTACCATGTAATGACCTTTCAGTCAATAATGGACGAGGATATGATGGTGATCCTGTAAGAGTTATAATAGGCTATACCATATAACCTAAGTATATATAAGGCTACACTATCTAGGCTTGTGTAAACATAGCCCATGATGTTTGAACAACAGTGAAAACTGACGATGCATTCCTCGGAACATATCCACATCATTAAGTACACAGTAAGTACTTAACAACACATGACCATACACATGTGCTGGAAAGAGAAAATGAGAGAGTAATTTACAGGTTTAATGTTCAGTTGGAGAAAAATCTCATTCATTTATTTTAAAAGAAAAGTTCTTCATATTTGTCTGATGTACTTACTTTTGTTTTAATCGGATATAGGAAGTTGATAAATTGTTCCAAGCCTCAGCATTCTGAAAGGATAGAGAACCCAATTACAGAATATTCTCATTTAAGTAAGATAATTACTGAAAACAAAAACCCACCACATTTTCCCATTTTCTAATATATGCTCTTTAAAGTCACAATTTTCAATAAAATATTTTTAAAGCTATGTGACAAAATAAACAAACCTTTATAATTTAAAAAAAGTTGGGACCAGCAGATAGTGTAATGATTGTGTCGCTGAACTCCCATGTAATCCATGTAATCCTGTGTTTCGAGTCCCAGACCAGCTTAAAATCCATGCCGAGCATGTGTGTGTGTGCATGCCCAAAATCCCAAAAGGAGAACAGAGAAGAATAGACTGCAGCATAGCCATCCCAGGGGGAGGTGATTTCTCACTATTTCTGTCTCTGTCTCTCTAGTAAGTGCATGAGCCCTATTGCAAAAATGTCTCTAAAATAAATAAATAAATAACTTAGGAAAAAAGTCAACCAAATGTTGTAATTATTATAACACTGATTTAGAATTTAGTTAGGATTTTATTTTCAAATGTAGATTACAATACAGTTTGAGAATTTATGACATGATTTATCCAATATATAGATATATTGCATATCCAAGGAAATGCAGAATTTTTTTTAATCTTCAAAGTCTCCTATTCTACTATCATTCTTCTTCACCAGATAGAAGAATAAGAATGTGTTCTCCGGTGTTGCTACTAAGTTATTTCATCAAACATATTTCTATTTTTCCATTTAATGACAAAAACAAAGGTTTTATATAAATGTGGATTCTTTTTCAGAGAGATTTTTTAAAAAGAATTATTTATTTAATTTTATTCATTTATTTTTAAAATTTTTAAATTTTATTTATTATTATCACAATCTTGTCTATATTACATTGAATCACATATATCTTTACAGTGTATTACATTTTTCTTTCCAGAAGGAATACCATACATATTAGTCAAGACAAAGACATTACTACCCACACCATCATCATCTAAGAGCTTTTCATCATTTTTTCCAATTATTATTACTTTTATTCTCATTTTTTTAAGCATTCAATCACTATATATCATTTTGCTTGTAAAAAGAATTTACCCAACATGAAATACTTCTCAGACCAGTCCAGTTGAGAATACTATACATGTTATCATCAACAGGTAATAAACCATTTCTGTGTCCCACTAAAGTCATGCTTCTCTATTTATTATCTTGCTATCCTTCTCTATTCTCTTGCCTTCTCCCCCTGCCCTGGTCCACACTATCTTCAGCATCCCTAATTACTTTCACTGCTTTTATGTCTTCCAATATTTCAATCTCTACCATAAAGTGCAGATAGTTGGTATATATTAAGTGGATACATAAAATATCTTTCGTTCATATCCTGGCTTGCTTCACTCAGCAATAGATCCTCCATATCTCACCTCTTTCTATCAAATGCCAGGGTCTTGTTGTTATTTATGGCTAAGTAGTATTCCATAGAGTATATGTGCCACACTTTTTCAATCCATTCATCAGTTTGTGGACATTTGGGTGAGTTCTGTGTCTTAGTGAGTGTGAATAATGCTGCAATAAACATTGATGTGCAAGTGCTTTTCTGACTGAGCATTCTCCTGTTGTTTGGAGAAGGTGGATTGCTGGATCAAATAGTAGTTCTATTTGTAGATCTTTGAGGAACCTCCATATTGTTCTCCACAGTGGCTGAATCAGTTTATATTCTCACCAACAACACTTACCACTTTCTATATTTTTAATCTTTGTAATCCTGACAGGAGTTAGGTGGTATCTCATTATAGATTTAATCTGCATCTCCCTTATGATGAGGGATGTAGAGCATTTCCTCAATATGCTTTTTGGCTGTTCATACATCTTCCTTAGAAAGATTTTTGTTCAGCTTATTTTCTCATCTGTTAATTGGGTTAATCTTTTTTTCTATTTTTCTTTTTTCCGAGTAAGCCACCTGAGTTCCCTATATATTCTGGTTATCAGTCCCTTGTCTAAGGCATATTTTACAAAAATATTCTCCCATTCTGAGGGTTGTTGATTCACACTTGTTACTGTGTTCTTTGCTACACAGAAACTTCTTAGTCTGATACAGTCCAACCTGCCTATTTTAGGGATCATTGCCTGTGCTTTGGTAGTCTTATTTAAGAATTCTCTGCCTACCCCAATGTCTCCCAGAGTTTCCCCAGTATTTTCTACCAGTAGTTTTATAGTTTGAGGTCTTAGGTTCAAATCTTTGATCCATTTTGAGTTGATTTTTGTTAATGGTGAAAGATGGAGTTCAATTTCATCTTTCTGCAGGTGGAAACCCAGTTTTCCCAGCACCATTTACTAAAGAGGTTTTCCTTTTCCTAATGGATTGACCGGTATCCTTGTCAAAAATCAGTTGGCTGTAAGCTTTGGGGTTCATTTCTGGGGTCTCTATTCTATTCCATTGGTCTACCTGTCTGTTTTTGTGCCAATACCATGCTGTTTTGATGATCACAGCTTTATAGTATATCTTGGGGTCAGGGAACGATATGCCACCCATTCCACTCTACTTGTGCAGGATTGCTTTGGCAATATGAGGTCTTTTATGATTCTAGACAAATTCTATGATTGTCTTTTCTAGATCTGTGAAGAATATCTCTGGTATTTTTATTGGAATTGCATTAAATATGTAGATTAATTTGGGCAGGATTGCCATTTTGATTATACTAATTTGTCCAATCCAGGAACATGGGATGTCCTTCCACTTTTTTATGTCCTTTTCAATATCTTTTTAAAGATTTTCATAGTTTTCTTTGTAAAGGTCTTTTACTTCCTTAGTTAGATTTATCCCTACGTATCTTATACATTTTGTGGCTATGGCAAAGGGGATTCCTTTCTTCAGCTCTATTTTGTTCAACTTGTTGTTCACATAAAGAAATGCTATAGATTTCTGGATATTGATTTTGTATCCTGCCAATTTACTGTATTTATTTATTACTTTGAGAAGTTTTTTCATGGAAACCTTTGGGTCTTCTAAGTAGACAATCATATCATCTGTGAATAAAAATATTTTCAATTCTTCTTTGCCAATTGAATGCCTTTTATATTGTTCTCTCTTCTGATTGCATTAGCTAAGACTTCCAGTGGAGTGGAGAAGTCTAGAAAAGCAGTGGAGAAAGTGGGCAGTCTTGCCTAGTACCAATTTTTAGTGGAAAAGCTTTTAGCTTTCCCCCATTCAGTATGTTAGCTGTACGTTTTTCATTGATGGCTTTTACTGTGTTGAGAAATGACCCTTCTCTACCAGTCTTACTGAAAGTCTTAATCATGAAAGGAAATGGTTTCTCTGCATCAATTGAAATGATCATATGGTTTCTATCTTTTTTTCTGTTAATATGGCGTATTATATTTATGGTCTTGCATATGTTGAACCACCCTTGCATTTCTGGAATAAAGCCTACCTGGTTGTGATGAATAATCTTTGTTATATGTTGTTGGATACAATTTGCAAGTATCTTGTTGAGAATTTTTGCATCCATATTCATCAGTGAAATTGGTCTGTAGTTTTCCTTTTTTGTCATGTCCTCTGTTTTGGAAATGAGGATAATGGAGGCTTCATAGAATGAATTTGGAAGGTTTTCTTCCTTTTGAATCTTTAGAAATAATTTGAGTAGGATAGGGGTTAACTTTTGCTTAAAGGTTTCATAGAATTCAGAAGTAAAGCCATCTGGACCTGGGCTTTGTAGGGAGGTTATTTATTACTGATTCAATCTCCTGACTTGTTATGGGTCTGTTCAGGTTTTCTATGTCCTCCTGATTCAATCTTGGTAGATTATCTGCATCCAGGAATTTGTCCATCTCCTCCATGTTCTCTTGGTTTTTTTTTGGCATACAGCCACTCATAGTATCCTCTAATGATATTTTGTATTTCTATTATGTCTGTTGTAATGTTGCCTGATTCATCACATATGTAATTTATCTGGTTTCTTTCTTTCTTCTTCTTTATCAGTCTAGCCAATGGTGTGTCAATCTTGTTAATCTTTTCAAAGAACCAGCTTTTGCTTTCATTTATTTTCTGTATGGTTCATTTATTTTCTATATAATTTATTTCTGCTTGAATCTTTATTATTTCTTTTCGCTTGGCATTTTTGTTGTTGTTGTTGTTCCAATACCCTGAGGCATGATGTTAGGTTATCTATTTGCCACCTATCCATCTTTTTCTTATACACACTAATTGCTATGAATTTCCCTCTTATGACTGCTTTTGCCATGTCCCATAGATTATGGAAACTCGTGTACTCATTATCATTTGTTTCCATAAATTTTTCATTTCAGACTTAATTTCTTCAGTACTTAAGAAGTCATTCAGAAGTAGGTTGTTCAGTTTCCATGTGTTTATATATTTTCGAAGGTGTTTCTTTAAATTAATATTGAGTTTAATTCTATTATGGTCAAATTAGATGCTGGATATATTTTTCTATGCCTTTGAATCTAGAAGGCTTGATTTGTGTCCTATCGTATGGTAAATCTTTGAAAAGGTTCCATGCCAAGGTGAGAAAAATGCATATTTTGTGGTCTTAGGGTGAAAAGTTCTATAGATACCTATCAATTCCACTCGACTTACAGTATCATTTAGGTCTAGTATTTCTCTATTTATTTTTTGTCTAGAGTATCTGTCTAAAGGAAATAATGGAGTGTTGAGATTCCCAACAATTATAGTGTTGCTCCCTATCCCTCCTTTTAGCTCCAGCAATCTTTCCTATGGAGAGTGCTCACCTCTCCCTCTCTCTTTCTTTCTCATGTGTGTATATGTTCTACCATACATAAAAGAAAAAAGATTTTACAAGTCAATTGTATCTCTATATTCTATCAACGAACAACTAAAAAATTAAAGAGATGGTAACATTTACAATAATATCAAAAACATGATAAGCGATTTCACTTAATTTTTTTCCAAGAGAAACAAAGACCTATATCCACACAAAGATTTGAATTAGAACCATATTAATAAGATTGTAATCTTCCCCATACTGATCCACAGATTCAATGTATCCCTATTAATAGTCCAGCTGCCAATTTCTGTAGAAATTGACAAAGCTAAAATCCTATATGAAATCAGAAGAAACCTTAAGTAGAGGTTCAAAACAATGAAGAAGAAAACTAAAGTTGGAGTACTCATACTTACTATTTTGAAGAAGAAAACTAAAGTTGAAGTATTCATACTTACTATTTTCAAAACTTCCTGCAAAGCTAATAGTAACAACAGGGTGCCACTGGCATATACATTCACATATAGTCAAGGAAATATAATTGATCGTTCATAAATAAAATCTAATCTTCACTATCAATTGATTTTTTTTCTTCTTTTGGAGAAGTTTTTGCTATAGGGCGCATGCACTCACCAGACATACAGAGCGAGACAGACAGCAAGTGAGAAATCACCCCCCAGGATGGATGGCCATGCCACAATCCCTTCTCCTCTGTTCTCCTCTCGGGATCTTGGGCACGCACGCACACGCACCTGGTGTGAGTTTTAAGCCACTGGGTCCAGGACATGAATCTCGGTTGACTACATGGGAGTCCAGCAACATAACCATTATGCTAACTGCTGGTCCCATAGTCAACTGAATTTTGATCCAATTAACAAGATCCTTTAATGGGGAAAGAATAGATTTATCGATAAATAGTTCTGGGACTATCTACATGTAAAAGAATGAAGTTGGACTACTCTCTTACAATCATATACAAAAATTTAACTTAAAATGAGCTCTAGAGGGGTCAGCAGGTGGTGTAGTGGTTAAGACACTGAACTCCCAAATGGTTGATTGTGATTCAAGTCCTGGACCCAGTGGCTTGAAAAAGCACCCAGGCACAAGTGTGTGCATGCCCAAAATCCGGAATAGGGATTCTAGCATGGCTATCCTACCGGGAGGTGATTTCTCACTTCCGTCTCACTATATCTCTGCAGCCAGTACACACATTCTATGGGAAAAACCTTGAAAAAAAAAAAAAATCTAGACCTGAAAATAGCAGCTAAAATGATAAAACTCTCAGAAGAAAAGGTAACAGTACAGATAAGATAAATCTTCATGACTTTGAATTGGGCAATAAAATCATAGAATAATGTCAAGGTCTAAGCAAGAAAATTAAGAATAGGTAAGCTAGATCTCATCAAAATTAAAAAAAAAAAATACCTTTCCACATCACAGTATTCTTTCAATAGAGTGAATAAAGCAACTAAAAGAATGGGAGAGCATTTCAAATCTTATCTGATAGAGGATTTGTAGTTAGGATGTACAAAGAAATCTTACAACTCAGCAATAAAAAGATGACCCTGGGGTCAAATTGACTGTAGTGATGGTTGCACAACTTTGTATATAGTAAGAATCACTGAATTGTACATTTTAAGTGTGTGAATCATATGGTATGTGAATCATTATCTTAATAAAATTGGAATATATAAAGATTTCACACTAAAATAACTTTCTAATAATATAAACATAGCCAGTATATTTGCAAATGACAACATACACATGATATTTTACTGTACTCTTTAGCCAAGTATGTGTGTGTGTGTATGTGTGTGAGTGTATGCATATATACACGCATACACATATATGTCAAAAAATATATTTGAGAGATTTTTGAGATAGGGTATGTATGCTCACTGAAGCGACAAGAGAAAGACAGAGAGACAGAAAGTGAGAAATCACCTCCCAGGAGGATGATCACATCATAATCCCTTCTCTTCCGTTCTTCTCTCAGGATTTTGGGCATATATGCACACACGCCTGGAGTGAATTTTAAGCCTGTAGGTGCAAGACTCAAACTGTGGTCGACCACATGGGAGTCCAGCCACGTAACCATTACGCCATCTGCTGGTCCCCTT